GGGTGCACACAGCGCTGCCACACACATCCTCTCGGCTGCACCCGTCCAGGTGGGCCAGCCCACTTTCTTCCAGATGCCCATGTCACTGGCGGTGGGTAGCCTGCCCACACAGAGCCAGCCTATAGCCGTGGCCCACACCACCTCCACCACAGTCCTGCAGGGTGTCACCCTGCCTCCCAGTACCATGGCCATGCTCAACGCCCATGCTCAACGGCCATGCTCGCTGCTGCGGTGGCTGGCTCCTCCACCACTACCACCTGGGAGGCCTCCCCCGTGCTCAACATGCAGCCCACCCCACCATTCCACCTGCAGCCAGCACACTGCTGCCCCTGGACCTGCAGCAGGCGCAGGTACATCTCTCTGTTTGCTGGCAGCCTCCCAGCCCTAAGTGTGACCAAGGACCCTGTACCTTAACTACAGCTTAAGAAGGACCCTGCACTGCAACCCAGCAAGGAGGCCTGTCTCCTGGAGAATTTGCACAAATACCAAGGCTCTGTGCTGTACCCCGACTGCAAGACCACCTTCCCCTACCTGCAGGATGCCCTGCAGGGCCTGCTGCCCTACCACGTGTACCAGGGCGCCCTCCCCTCCCCCAGCAACTACAAGGTGGACGAGGAATTTGAGACAGTCTCCACCCAGTTAATGAAACGCACCCAGGCCATCGCACCTGCCCACCTAGCTTGTGATCCGGCATTGCAGGACTGGTGGATAGCCTTCCATGACCTGGGCTGATGCGTCCTCCTCCCTGTCTTCCTCCTCGTCGTCTGCTGCCTCTTTCCTGGATGCCAATGAGGACAGCCCCACGCCTTCCCACAACGGCCCGCCAATCAAGACCTACGATGTGCGAAGCCACATCAGTCTCAAGCTCAAGATCAAACAGGAGACCAGGCTCAGCAAGGTGGTGCACAACAAGGCGCTGGACCCCGTGCACCAGCCGTCTCCTGCGCCCCAGAGCGCCGAGCCCCTGTAACGCCCACCCCCGAGCCCCTGCAGCGCAAACCCCCGCCACCACCAACCCGGCCAGCCAGATGAACGGCATCATGGACCACACGCCACCGCCGGCGCCACCTGGCACTCACAAGACCGTGGGCCTGCGCTACCCTGGCCGCACCTGCTGCTCTGCAAGAGCTTTCCAGAGCATGTGGCCACCAGTGCCACGCCCCTGCCCGCCAAGGTGGACGAGGCCAGAAGTGGCGGCCATGGAGAACGAACTGTACCAGCAGCTACTTAAGGGCACCGCCACGCTGCCTGAGCCCACCCACGCAGCCGCCCATGCCGGCTGGGAGGCCCCAACAATGCAACCCGCCAAGTGGCGCATGCCCCAGTCCGCCGACATGGACCAGGCCAGCTTCTCAAGCCACAGTCCACAGGACGACACTCTCAAGGAGCACTTGCAAAGTGCCATGGACAGCATCCTGAACCTGCAGCAGGTGCAGGGCCAGCCACATGGTGCGCTAGCACCTGCCACCTCCCCGCACCCCTGCACCGGCCCAACGCCTACCCACCCTCCAGCTTCAAAGGTGTCCTGCATCCCACAGATAACAGCGGGCAGCCGGGACTGCCCATCCAATGACTAAGTTATTGCAGTCACCGAGGGCCGCCTGGTGGATATGCGGGAGTGGGGTGTGCACCTGGGGAGGGGCCAGAGGATGACGGCCCCTCCTTCCCTCCCTCCCCGCAGCCCCCAGTGCCCACAGCTCACACTAGCGAGGGGCCAACAGGAGGGCACCCACAGCAGGGAGGGTCAGCCCTGACCATACAGCAACTGTACAGGAAACCAGAGGTTGGTGGAGATCAAGCAAGGTCCCCTCACCTCCCCCTGTGTCCTCCCGACGACCCGCACAGCCGCCACTCACCCCTCTGCTGGGATCTGTGTGCAGCCACCAGAAACTGGGGTACTCCCCGGCTCCCAAAACAAATGTGCACCTACATGGCCACTCTTCCTCTGCCTTCAACCACCCACGCCACGTTTTAAAATCCTGGAGACAGAACTAGTTGTGTAAGATAATTTTCTTTGTACTGTATTTAGTGTGTGTAACGAGTTTTTGAAAGGAGAATCCTGTACATTTAGAACTCTTGTAAATTAAAAGCCAATCCTGAAAAAAAACTGAAGAAAAATTAAAAAAAATAAAATGAGGAGATGTGGGCATCTAATAGAGTGGATGAGAAACTGCTTAGGAGACGCTCACTCTATACTGGACTGTCTGTGTTTGTGTTATCACTCCACAACAAAGTCCATCTCACTGCTAACGCACTCCCTGGAAGCAGGCAGGGAATTTCTCAAGTACGTGAGTCATTGCACTGCTGTCATGGACACGGATTTAGTTCCTGGCTCTAGTTTTTGACCTGACCTTGTCTCAATCTTGAAGACTTTAAGGAGTTAACCAGATGGTAGATCCCTCTGTCTCAATGACTTGTACAAATGAAATAAATTAATAAAAATTATATTAAAAATAAGAGAAAAACATTTTTTAAAGGTTTATTTATTTTTATTGCAAAGGCAGATACATAAAGATTATGAAAGACAGAGAGGAAGATCTTCAGTCCAGTGATTCACTTCCCAAGTGACCACAATGGCCTGCATTGTTTCCAACTGAAGGCAGGAGCCAGGAACTTCCTCCAGGTCTCCCACTTGGTTGCAGAGTCCCAAGACTTTGTACTGTCCTCGACTGCTTTCCCAGGCTGCAAGCAGGGAGCTGGAATGGAAGTGGGACTACTGGTTCTAGAACCTGAGAACATATGGGATCCTGGTGCATTCAAGACAAGGACTTTAGCCACTGTGCCAGGCCCGAGAAAAGTAATTTAAAAACAAGAAGTGGCATGGATGTTTACTGCAGCTTTTCACACAAAGTTTGAAGACCACATGCTTCTACCCAGTGATTCTAAATACAGCAGCATATTATGTGAAAAACAATCTCACAGAACAGCAAGGGAAGGTACACACCGACTGGCAGTAATCAGGACAAGTTAATGCTACAGTATCAGTGCCCAGCCAGTGGGAACTGCTACTTAGCAATATGATCAGAGATCTCAGTTAACACTACATGAAAACAATAAAATTGAACAAGTCCCAGAGAAACACAAAATAAATAAGCGCACATGGAGCAAATCTTAGACTCAACCCTTCGACCTCAACAATACTTCACACACCATCAGAATGTGTCCACAATTTCTAACCTAAGAATACTGACCCATGTGGAAAACACTTGACATAATTAGCATATGAGAAATAAAAAGCAAGAAAAATACCGTCACCAGTATCAAAAACTACAGCAAAGGCCAGCATTGTGGTATAATATGTAAAGCTGCCAACTGCAACACCAGCATCCCATATGGAATCAGCTGTTCCACTTCCAGCCCAGCTCTCTGTGAATCTCCTGGGAAAAGCAGTGGCAGATCATCCAAGTGCCTGGGCCCTGATCACCCACATGCAAGACCTGGAGGAAGCTGCAGGCTCCAGGACTCAGCTTGGAGCAGCACTGCTCATTTTAGCCACCTGTGTAGTGAGCTAGTGGGTAGAAAATCTCTGTGTCTTATTTTTTTAAAGATTTACTTATCTTTATTTAAGTCAGATACAGAGAGAGGATAGAAGAGACAGAAATATCTGCCGTCCACTGATTTACTCCACAAGAGGCTTCAGCTGCTGGCACTGTGCTGATTGAATTTAGGAGGCAGGAGCTCTTCTGGGTCTGCCAACGGGTACAGGGTCCCAAGGCCTTGGACTGCCCATGAGTACTTTCCCTGGCCACAAGCACGAGGCTGGATGGGAAGCGGGGCTGCCGGGATTAGAAGCGGCGCAAATATGAGATCCCGGGGTGCTCAAGGAGAGGACTTTAACTACTAGGCCAAGGCACCTGGCCATTTCTCTTACTTGAACTCACATTTCAACATAAAAAAAGAAAGAAAAGAAATAAAGACATTTTTAAGATCTATTTACCATACTATACCACTTTAAAAAATTCAATTTAAGAAATCACAAACATCAATTATCAGACAGTACTAGAATTTAGTCACCTTTGACAATGGAACATCAAAGAGACCAAGACTTAAATTCACAAAGGATTTTTTCAAATACATTGTCTACAAAGTCGCTGTGCCACCCCAGGCCTCTGCCAAGCACAACGCCAGCACCACATGCTGCCCCTCTCAAACTTGCAGCAAAACTCGGAGGAAAACAAGGCTGTTTGTTCTAACTGCTGGAGTCTGTGCTGGTCTGGTGTGAGCAACAAGAAAACTGCCCCAGACCCTTAGCAGGAGCTTCACTGAGGACTGAGCTGGGGGCCTGAGACGGGGCTTCTCAACTCAGGAAAATCAGGCCAATTAAAATACAAATTGATATAAAATTAAAAAAAGAGAGAGAGAGAGCAAACCCTGCCCAACATGAAGGTCGAACTGTCCCTGGGCACTCCCCCCTCCTCACTGCACAATGGGTTCCACTGTGAGTCCTAGTGTTCAAGGTCAGTGCTGCAGAGTGAGGACCCCAAGGTCCCCCTCCTGGCCCCCGCCCGCCCCGCGGCCTCAGGAGATGCTCTCACACACTCACCCTTCCCAGCTTCTCACCAGTCGGGGGTCCTGCACAGGCTCCTGCGGGGAGGGAGCTCACAGGGCAGCACTGGCTCAGCCACCTGCGCCTCTCCACCAGCACCACCAGCAATGCGGCTATGGAGGCGCCCACAACAACTTCCTGCCTGCTGCCACAAGGCTTCCTGGGCGCGTCTGATTGGACCACTCCCACACACCTTGACTACACATGACATCACAATGCGCAGCCAATCAGAATCACAAAGGGCAGAAGGAAGTCAGGCAGGATTCTGGAGGGAGGGGGAGTGAGGGGCGGGGCTTCACCTCAGGCAGGAAGTGGCCTCCTCTCTTGCAGCTTGAGCCTTCCAACAGCAGGGGCCGCTGTCGCCTCTCACATCAGTCCACCTCCTGGCCTCTCCTTCAGGATCCCATTCAAGTCTGGAAAACAGAAATGTAGGACAAGAATCTAGAGTTACTCTTCATTGAATGTTCAGTTGATTCTGAGAATTTTCTTCTTTATATTCGCTTTTTGCTGTTAGTTCATTTGACACCTTAAAATACAGAGCACGAAGATATTTGAAAATGTAGTGTAAATTAATGTTTTAGATCTCATTTCTCCTTTTCGTTTTTTTTTTTTGTTTTGATTTCATACTGCTTCATATCTGTTTCTTATCAGAAATACCAGCTTGATTGTGTTGATCTTCTACCCAGAAATCTCGCGTGATTCTCTCATCAGTTTTAGTTTGGTTTTGCATAAGTGAATCATTGATGTACATTGACACTTCCGCTGTGTAAAAGGTCACCACTATCCATATAATTTCCTTTCTCTGTTTAAGTTTTTTCGTTGCATTTTCTTTTTTATTTTCTTTTGGTTTTTTTTTTTTAATTTATTTATTGTTGCTTACATTGTATTATGTAGTACAGTTTTATAGGCGCTGGGGATTCCCCGCACCCCTCCCATACCCCTCCCCCCATGGTGGATTCCTCCACCTTGTTGCATAACCATAGTTCAAGTTCAGTTGAGATTCATTGCTTGCAAACACATGCCTAGCATAAAGTTCAGCGTCTTATTGTCCAGATAAGTTCAGTGGCCTCTTGGGGAGACCTTCTATGGTCTGAAGATAGGTCTAACAGAGTAAAGATCCGGTCAGTTAAAAGCCCCAACAAGGCCTCAGTATCAATATACAACATTATGGAATTAATTGACATAGTATTTGGTAAACAATATGTTAAAAATAATGCAAGTTCCATTCTTCGAAACATCTGGGTTGAGACAGTATTAATGACAGGTTCAAAAAATAACAAACAACCAAACAAAAATTACAGGTTAAATCAAGGCAAACATGTGGTATCTAATCTTTTGGGATTCACTCATTTCCCTTAGCATTATAGTTTCCAGTTGTGCCCATTTAACCACAAAGAACTGCATTTTGTTTTTTTTAATAGCTGAGTAGTATTCCATGGAGTAGATGAACCAAAGCTTTCTTATCCAATCTTCTGCTGATGGGCATTTTGGTTGCTTCCATGTTTTTGCAATTACTGATTGTGCTGCAATGAACATAGGGATGCATGTTGGCATTTTCAAAACAATGTTTAAGAGGCAAGTAGTGAGACCTGGCGCGGTAGCCTAGTGACAGAATTCTTTACCTTTCATGTGCCAGGATCCTATATGAACCTGGTTCTTCTTTTTGTTTTTGTTTTTTTTAAGGGAACATGCCCCAGACAAAAACCTCACTCTTTATTAGGACGCTTATAATCAGTTACACTGTCAAGGTAATTATAAGCTGCAGTCAAATAGCCTCAGAGCAGCCTCTGTCCTTTTTTTGGAACATGGCTGTCGCTGCCAGTGCCACTGTCCTGCTGGCTGACTTTCCCTGGACCACACCGGTGTTAATGAAAACCACTATATGTGCAGGCCTGCTCAGCTTCCAGGCCCTGCACCTCTTGGCCGTGTGTCCTGTGTGCCACTCCAGTCTCGTGAGGTTGTGCCTGTGTCCCCAACGACCCTAACCCACATGCCAGCCCTTCCAGGGCCAGCTGGGCTATGCTGGAGCCCTGTAAGCCTCTAGCATGCCCCTTCCCGCAAGCCGACTGCACCAGGGCCAGGTGGTTTCGGCCACTGCCCCAAAGGCTCACCACCACTGCTGCCCCGGTCTTGGACCACAATGGCTCTGCCAGTATCCCAAGCACCGCTTCTCGGCCTACCCTGACACCCCTCATGCTGCTCTAGGGCCAGGTGGGCTTGGCCACAGTCAACCTCCCTACAGAATAGGAGCACCCCGTGGACATGCCTTGAGCTCCAGGCCCCAGCAGTCTTGGCTACGTACCCCGCAGATCCAGTGTCAGGTGGCCAGGGCCAGACCTGTACAGGCTACTTGGAGGGAGACCCATAACCTGCAGTCCACCTGGTCCTCTACTCCATAGGTGTCTTGAAGGCAGAGAGAATCAGTTAGTGGTTCCTGTTCACCCTGTACTTCTAGTGCCCATCAGGATGGCACTCCAGGTTCAGGCCAGTGTAGATGGGGCCCACGCTTCGATAACCCACTTGCCCGGTGCTCCAGAGCTTCAAGGACTAGGTCGATAATCCCCTGCTCATCTAACCCTCCCACTATGCCCGCTGCTCCAGAGTCAGGCACACTCTGCCTGCAATCCACCCCACCCCCATACACAGACACACACACACACACACACACACACACACACACACACACACACGGCAGGCTACTCTGCTTGCTGCAGCAGAACCAGGTAGGCTCTGCCAGCTTCCCAGTGCCCCTAGCAGGCTGCTCACCCACCTGCCACACCAGGAGATTGCCCTGCACAGGCAGCTCATACATCGCTGCTGAAAGGACCTGCTGATTCAGCCGGCATCCCCCGCATCCTCAGCCTGCGTGCTGTCCACTTCACTAGGAACACATTCCCTAACCCCTTGTTCCCAGCTTGCCTGCAAGCCACTCCAGGTTCAGGTGGACTCAGCTGGTATCTCACGCCCTTCTTTGCCTTCGTCCTCCACAGCCCCCTCCTGAGGTTCTAAGGCAGGGCGTATTCAGAGGTTGCTTCACGGGTCCCAGCACTCACACCATCCGCTCTAGGGCCACTTCATCCAAACCGGCTAAGCCAGTGCATCCTGCATAGCACCCCTAGCCAGCAGGCCATGCAGCCCCACTCACTGTTTGTTACAGGGTTAACCAGGTTCAGCCAGCGTCACACACCCTGCACCCTTCCTCTGGGCCTGGGCCTATCAGACAGCATGCCATGCACCACCAGTCCTCCCACCTTGCCAGATGCTAATTCAGACAGCGCCCTGTTAGCCACCGGGCCTCTCCGATCCATTCTCTTCCAGGGCCATGCTGCCCTGATTGCCACAGCAAAACCAGACTGGGGACGGAACCCATCATCTGCAACCTGCCTGCCAGGTGCTCCAGGGCCAGGTGTGCTTGAACAGCGACTCCACCTGGCCCACTGTACACTTCTGGGCCTGTGGTACACTCCTGGGCCAAGAGGGCTTAGCTGGTACCCACATGCATGCCAGGCATGCACAGAGTGCTCCAGGGACAAGGACTTATGACAACAAGCCAAGGAAAAAACGCACCCACTGGCCGCGTTTTCCAGGGCCAGGCCAGACAAGCTGTTACACTCTACAACCGCTGTCCTCCCACCATCTACTTCATAGCCAAGTCATCCTGGCCAGTGTCCCTGCTGCCATAGCACTGCAGTCATCCACTTCAGAGCCTAATTGTGCTGGGGGAAGGGTGTGCCTTTAACACGCTCCCTCTGTTTCCCAACTTGCCCATCCAGGGCCAGGCTTAGTGAGCCAGTGTCATTGCGCCTCAAGCCCAAGCACACTTTCACACTGTCCACCATCCGCTGCTGAGAGCCAGTCAGGTTTCAGCCAGTGATCTGTCCCCTCAGTGCTGGGTCCCTTCTGACAGCCATGCTGCCTCTACCAGCCCCAGCCTGCATGCCTTGAGTCCCCTGCTCACAACATGTCCACCCTGTCAACTTATCTGAAGCTAGTTGACCCTCCAGTGGCATGTCCCACATCCGTATGCCTTCTGCAAGCTCCTCCAGGGCCAGGCCAGAAGGGCAGCCCCAACACTCACCTCTAGCCTGTGTGATCTTGTGGACTTTCTGCTGCCCACAGCAAGGTGGGCTAGAGTTGCAAGGAAATTCAAACCAAAACACTGCAGTAAAAAGCTCTTTTTTGGGGGGGCGCCTGGCAGCATGGTCTAGCGGCTAAAGACCTTGCCTTGAACAGGCCAGGATCCCATATGGGCACCGGTTCTAATCCCAGCAGCTCCACTTCCCATCCAGCTTCCTGCTTGTGGCCTAGGAAACAGACAAGGACAGCCCAAAGCCTTGGGATCCTGCACCCATGTGGGAGACCTGGAAAAAGTTCCTGGATCCTGGCTTTAGATCGGAATAGCATTGGCTGTTACACTCACTTGGGGAGTGAATCATCGGACGGAAGATCTTCCTCTCTAACTCTCATTCTCTCTGTATATCTGATTTTCCAATAAAATAAATAAATCTTTTATATATATATATATAAACCTCTTTTTTGTCTCACATGACACAATTTTCATGCAAACAATTCTAGCTTGTAAAGCACCATTTATTTAATAAGAAGAAAGAAAATGGTGCTGTCCTAGAGGCAGGATGGGGCTCCAAAGGAGGAAACACACAAGAAAATAGTGGAAATGGTGCCTTTTATGCACCATCTCAGGGAGGAGTTCACATGAATCACCCAAGTGCAGAGAGAAAGAAAGTTATTCACAATGGGCAGTAATGTCTATCACCTCACCCAGAGAAACAGAGGGTGAGACTTGTGGCTTCCTTCTCTCAATATTGTAGGATAGGCAGCTAGTTCAGGGTTATCAGCTTGGAAGACACAGCCCCTACACCATCTAGGCTTTCCCTTCTGCCCACCTGTGACACTCACCCATTGTCACCTGGAACCTGAGAGGGGGCGGTATTGCATTGCTGTGTAACCACTCCCCTCACAACCCCCAATGAAGGCCCATGATAGGGATGGGCTCACTCTCTTGGTCACGTGCTTCCATCACTCTGGCACTCCAGCACCTGATTGCTCTCTGTATTCCAGCAGATTCTGAGGACAGGTAGCCCCTAAGCATGGCCCTGTATGTTTGTATTTCTCACACTCTGTTCACAGTTTGGGTGGGACAATAACGATGTAAACTGTAAGAAACTTTGTATTTCAAAATTGTGTTCTTTCCAGAGTTCCAGGAGAGATGAGGCCTAGCAGTAATGGAATGTAGGCAGAGAAGGCAGGGAAAAGTGAATGTCTGCAGCCTTGTAAGTGTGTCCAGGCTGTTCGCTCTATGTCTCTTAGGATAACTTATATTGCTGGGGAAGCTGGGACATAGGTCTTCAGATTAACAGACAGACTTCAGGGTAATGACCAATTCTTCCTCTCAGGGTTTCCATTCAGACTGGATTGTCACATGGACTTGGCATTTGTTAATTTCTAGTGGGCCCTGTTATCACCAAACTTGGTTGACAAAGACTCCTTAATACACCCTAGACTTGTCTGGCATGATCTTGCTTGCACCCCACAACACCATCCTGGAGATAAGCTGAAAACTGAAGCGCAGTTCCTTTGACAGTGACCCAGAGATGAGGTTAGTGTGAGCCACATCTCACTGCATTTCATATGGCAACAGCTGTGAGGGATGATTAATATGCTGATTCTATCCCTGTTTTCCCTCCCCAGAGGAAGGGAACACGAAGGATATGGAAATAGGTGAAGAGCCTGTTCTCACATTTTAAAGGATAATTTTACCAGGGACCAGGAGATCCAGTCTGACTGCTCACACACTACTCCAGCACCTTCATGTCCACAGCTGCCCTCTGCTTGCTCCAGGGCAGGCAGGCTAAGCCAGCCTCTCCTTTCACTAAGCATGCCTGCTTGTCACTTAAGGACCTCAACACCTCTGATGGTGCCCACCGTGTCCCCCAGCCTACCTGAGGGTGGCTATAGGGCCAGGCCAGGTGTAAGAGCATCCACAAGTCTCTTACACACAGGCCCCTTCAGCCCTGCTCGCTACTTGAGGCATAGGCTAGCTTTATGGACCACTCACTGACACAAAATCCCACCCCTGCTGCTCTGTTGGCTGCATCAGGTCTAGGCTGGCTCTGCCAGGGAGCGTCCCACCCCTGCTCTCCATCTTGTTCCTCATCGTTAGGCTCACTCTCCCTGGGCACACAGTGCCTCTAGCATTCTCACCTTGGTTGCTGCAGCAGGCACAGGTCTTCTGGGCAGGAAAAACCTGTGCTTCTAGCCTGTCTGTCATGCCTCCCTCAGGCTACTCCTGGTGGCTCTGCCTGCCACTCCAGGGACAGATCTCATGACCGCCGCTCTGACAAGCCTTGTCACTGCCAGGTCAGATGGGCCCTAATCTCAGTTTCTGTGCTCACAGCCAACTTGTCAAATGCCCCAGGGTTCAGAAGGCTCTGCCACCATCCCATCAACCCCACAAATGCCTGTAGCATGCCTGTCCATCTGCCCAGTCAGCAGCTCAAGACCAGGCTGACTCAGTCAGCTACCTGCTCCCTCCAACAGCTGCTGACCAACCAGCCACTTCCGGACTGGGACTGCTAAGCTGCCAAACCCCTTGGTACTCTGTGTTTCTGATTGTCTGGCCTGACAACATGCCCACTCTTCCAAGGCCAGGACAGGCCATTTGGACCAGTGTACATGCACTCCATCATGCAGGCACTGCACTCTTTCTGAAACTACAGGCCTGCTTGCCCTGCTCCCACTGTGCCTCTAGCACTCCTGCCAATGCCTCTAGCACCAACCTGCCATGAGTCTGCTCCAGGGTCAGGCCAACACCCCAATGTCCCTGGTCAACTCACCCTTCACTACTTGCTGCAGGATCACATGCCCTTCCAGCATCCCCACACACCCAGCACAACTGCTGGACTGCTTGCTGTTGAAGAACCGGAAAGACTTGGATGGCAACCCCAGGCTCAAGCCCACCTGCCAGCCTCTCCAGGTCCACATGTGCTCAGCTAGCCATGTCCCCACCCCACCACTGCCACAGCATTCAACGCCATTTGCTGCACCACCAAGGCCTCAAACCCAGCACCCCCAGTGCATCTAGCCAGCTTGACTTGCCTTATGGTGGCTGCCCCAGGCACAGCTGGGGTCATCAACCATTCAGCATCCCCAGCTGACTGTTGGCCCACCTGCTGATTCCCCTGTGCCAGTTGCACATCTAGCACTCCCACCCTGCCCATTGCTACAAGGACAGGCTGGCCATGCTGGCCACCCCAGGACTCTAGCCTGTCCAGTCTGTGGCCATGGCTGCTGTTACAGAGCCAAGGCAGTTTGGGCAGTGCCCCCTCTGTCCTCGACCACCAGCTGCCAATTCCAGGGCCAGGCTAGCTCCTCACTAGCATTGGTAAATCACTCATACCACTCCACCCCATATTCCCAGCAGGCCTGCAAGCTACTCCAGGGCCAGGCCAACTTAGCTGGTATCCAGTCCACTGCTCTAGGACCAGATTTGTTCTGAGGGTGCTCCACCAGCCTCCAACACACACTACATCTGCTCCAGAACATGGGCGAGGGGGCAAAGCTGGAGTCCCCTCATGTTTAGCCTGCCCACTGCCCTGCCTGGTACACCAGGACCAGGCTGACTTGCACAGTGACATGGTATCTGCTTCAATCCACTCACATGCCTGGCACTCCAGAGCCAGCTTTATTTGCCCTGCATCTACCATGCATCTCCCATGTTCACCACACTTGCTACTCCAGGGCCAATTTGCTGACTGGTTTCTTCCAGGGGTAGATCCTGCTTCCAGCCACCCACACTGAGATCAGGGGCTACAGTCTTCCAGGGACCAAGGTGCTTCCCTCCATCCCTTCCTACGCTCCCATTCTCCACCCACGTGCTGTCTGGACTATGGTCTTCCAGAGGTGGGTCCAGCTTCCCCATGGGTAGTTTTTTCTGTTCTTTTGCTGTCCCTGTGTGTGGATGGATGTGGAGATTCATCACGTTTAGGCTGTTGCTGCTTGCAAGATGAACTTCTGCTGCCATTTCTGTGTGACTTCATTCCACAGCCTGCTGTGACCCAGTGCAGGATTTGACCCAGGACCAGCTGCACACTCCTCTCTGCCTGTCTCAGGCCAGGCTGGCAGGCACCTGCACCTTCCTGGAGGTCACAGTACAGGCAACAAGGGACCCTCCACTAAAGGCATGGCAGATTGCTTAATTGGAAAGGCATGGTAACAGGGAGAGATCGCCCATCAGCTGCTTTATCAACTGTTTCAAAAACTCAGTGGTATTACAATGAAGCATTGATGCCATAAACCTCATCAACAAAGAGTAGTTGCAAAATGTCTTAGTCAGTTAAGAAAAAGAACAAATGATATGTTAAGATTCCAGAGAATCTTAATGGTGAAATAAACAACATTAAACTGATCGACGGTAAAGACACTGAATCAAAGACACCAGCTTGGACCCAGCAAAACAGCCTCGTGGCTAAATCTAAGCCTGGCCTGCCTGGGATCCAATATTCGTGCCAGTTTGTGTGCCAGCAGTTCTATCACCTTCCAGCAGTAAGGAGTACCCTGGCTACAAATGAAGAAAAGCATTTCTCAATTCTCTTTGTATTCTTATTTGAACCTTTTAACACCTACAAAAACTCTGAATTTCAAATTTGACAATCTTCCGTTTCTTCCCACTTTAGATGTCTTGTGCTGTGGGAAACATACACCTTGTAAGCCAGGTTGCTCCCCCATCCAACCCCCGCACCCGGAGCCCAGGGAAGATGATCTGAGCTCTAAGGTGGCAAGGTTTTCGCAGATGCACAGGACCCTGCTTGGCTGTGCCTCTTACCTCCGCCTTCGTGAGCTGCTCTCGGAGTTTCTCCACTTCTTCCTGGAGATCCCGGATAATTCGTGCGTTGGGATCCTCATTCACCACAGCATGGTTCACGATGTGCTTGGCACGATCTGCGTACCGCAGGGTGGAGAGGGTTTCATCATAGTTATCAGCTGCCGGACTCACAGTCGCCACCATTGCTGTCTTGCTATTACCACCAAGACTGTCCTGCAGGAGGAGAAAAAACAATGAAGTTGAATTTTAAAGCAAGACATCATATGAGAAACCTGAAGTCAGAAATGGTGAGATCAATTCCCAACATCAAACACATATTTAACAACAACAACAACAACAACAACAACAACAAAAGGGGTCTAAAATGCAAGTTAAAATAAGGACTCAAATCCTATGATGTTTGCTCTCTAACCAGGCTCGTTCCTCAAAAACAGAAGAGCTTTGTTTTTTTAAAGTAAAGACAGGGAAGGAAAATACATCTATTTCAGCTTAACAAAAATTAATTCTAAGTCAATTTGTCCTTTTTTACAGCCAACACAAAACCTTCCATGAGCAAAGTAGTCAAAACAAAATAAAAAAAGATGCCTTAAACGTCTCCAAAATCTTCCTTAGAGGGACTGAACAACCGTGATATGAGCTGACATGTGACAATGGAATCATTACCTACAACCTCCTCCATGTGCTGGGACATACCTGGGACTCTCTGGCAAGGCTAAATAATGACTACAAGCTATCAAGTACCAACTAGAATTTCCAAAACAAAAAATTATAGCTTACACAACAGACTCCATAGGTCAGACAAGACCATTCCACTGAAACCAAAAGGCACTGTGAAACAGCCTTCAGAACCATCTTCTAACAAAGAACTCCTTTCACTTGAGAACATTAAAACCACAAGATGTGAGTCAGAATCACAAAACTAGATCCGGGACATCAGGTTTACACCACTGTGACTGACCATACTAACAAGGCTGACTGGAACCCACTTGTGGCCAACGGCTCCATAGCTGGTACTCATCCCCAGTCTGGAAAGCGGACATGACTTTCTGAGCAGCATCTGATGAACAGCAGAGGCAATGGTGTGTCACGCGTGAGATCAGCAGAACAAGGCAGTCCTGCCTTGGGCACTTTCTCCTGCACTGCGGGGAACCAGCTGCCATGTGCACAGATAGCCCCAGGAACAGAGCCCAGGGAGTGAGTGTGGAAGCAGACCTATAAGGTATACCAGCAACCATGGAAATGAGCAGAACTCCCCATCCCACCATGTGGCTGAGATGACACATCACAGGAAAGACCTCAGCCAAAGCCACTTACTTAGGCCAATTGCTGCTTCCAACTGTTAAGTTTAGAGGGTAATTTTTTCTACAAAGCAACAGATAAACTACATACACTATTAAACCACGTGAAATAGAATTAACCAGAAGAGATTCAGTGCCACCTTGAATAATCTCTAGACTAGACAGAATATTCCAAAAGGCTTTCTTTAGCTCATAAGAAAACTATTGTGGACAGCAATGAACTACAGAAAATTATTACTGCTGCAGAAAAAAATTTTCCAATTTCAATATATTCAAAATTTATAGCACTCTATGATTTATGCAATCTTTGCACATATACTTAGTTCTCAGCCATCTGTGAAGCTGATTATTAGCACCCCTATTTCACTGATGAGAAAACAGATTTATTCTGACAGAGGAGGTTAAACATCTTGCCTAAAAATCCAGAACTTAAAAGCTGTGAAAAATATTTTACGCAAACAGGATTTGGCCCTCAAATCCAAAAGATTTCCCAACATGTACTTGGTAGCACACAGGAGCAAAATGCTTGAAGATTAGGCAGACTTGAGCCCTTGCCAAATTATTTCATCTCAGTATCAGAAACGAAGTAATTCCTGAAGTACTGACAACAAATCAACAAAATCAGACAAGATGTCTGCTTTCTTATGCAATACTGAACGTTTGTTTTGCCATAACAGTTACATGGTTGGGCAAAATGTACTTTAATGCACCAAAAGGCAGGAAATACAATTAACTTGGGATTTAAAATCAGTGACTGCTTGCTTCACTCTTAACTTAAACTCATCCCAAACTGGTGGTGCCCCAGTTCTGGTAACTTCCAAAAAATATCACACGGACCCTTAAGCATGTTAATGGGATTCAAATGTAATACACAGATGACAGCAATTCAGTCCCACACTGCAACTCAGCTCGCTGGCAGCATCATGCTGCCCTTTCAGAACTACTGTTAGCCCACATGACAGCAAACACTACTGGGCAAAGAGGATTTGCAACAATAGTCACCCAAGGAGAAGAGCACATAGTGGTTGTGCCTCAGTTTATGCAGAGAAAAAGAAACCTGGCAAACAACAAATGCTTGACATTCCTAAAGGCCTTATCTGGGAGCAACAATACGCTTATATGAAAGCGGCCTCCTGCCATTAGTGAAAAGAAAATAGCAACAAAAGAACTGGCACTCACTCAAGGAGAAAGTATAAAAAGATTCTTGTTGACTCTTTAATTGGGCAAATTAGACGAGCTTTGTTTCAAATGCAGCAACTGTAATATTAAGTGAACATAGGAAAAAAATTGTTTTCATTTTCTTCAACAAGGTTCTTGATTTTCATTCTTCAGTTATACGTTAGTCATTTAATAGCATGTTATTTAACTCCTTGGTGTTGTTAATTTCTTTTTTCTCCCGAATGTTGATTTTGTTTTGTGGCTCTTCATTGAAGGGGATGTACAGTAGCTGTGTAATGGAGACTGTCATATCTAGTAACATGTCATTTAACTTCATGGCATTGTAAATTTCTATTTTTCTTTCTATTGTTGATTTTGTATCATGACTTTTCATTTAAGGAGAAGTACAGTAGCTGTGAAATGGAGACTAACATCCAGATGTGAGGATGCAGTGTAGTATGCATTTCTGCTTCCAAAGATGGACTTACAATGAAACTATTTACTATATCTTGACAATAGGATTCTGGACTCTCTGCCATTGTCCATGCCCTCAATGATGGACATATAAGTGAGTATAAAGAACTATATGTTAGTAATGATATAGAGGAACTGGGGGGGTGGAGATTGGGGAGGTGATAAGGGAATATGGAACTGTATCATAAAATGATAATAATAAAATGTAAAAAAAAAGAAAAAAAAGAAATTTGTTTTCAGAAATCAGAATTTTCTTTAAAGTTGAAAGAACTCTTTCAAGTCATCCAATCAAATTATTTCATTTTACAGACAAGAACCTGACAGCCAGGAATGCTGGCAGACTGGCTGAGAGCACAGCTGAAATGACCCACTTACTCAGCTCATCATCAAGCTTACCAGGGGACACACGAGTGAAAACACACCTTAAGAACTAAAGTGGGGATAAATATAGTGCGGTGTGGGAAAACAAAGGACATTCTTTAAGGCTGGGATGGGGTGGGTGGGTGCTTCCAGAGAGTGATGTCTGAGACTCAAAATGTATAAGTACTTCTCAGGTAAAAGGAAGCAGGGAAAAGGCAGGAGGGATGGGAGAAAATGCCCCAAAGGGAGTAAGAATAGTTCGGAAGTGAAACAGCACTCATCACTTAGCTGCAATGCATAACTCCTCACTCTTACCAGGTTAACAGTGTTATTGTAGCAAGCAGTTAGTACTGTTGTCCTAACTGTAGAAGACAGACTGGGATGAGAAGCCTGCGACCAACTCTGGCTGCCAGATGACAGGTGGGGGCAGCTGTCATGTGGGAAGCAGCAGTAAGAATGAAAAAGGACAGTGCAGTTCAAAGACAATCTAAGCACTCTTTCATTCCAGGAAGTTGCATGGCATTCAGCAGCCCTCTTACAAAGGCTACAAGCATCATAGACAGCCATGTGGTCACAGCAGACAGCACACCTGCATCCTCCATGGGAGTCCCTGCCTCTGGCTGTTGACCCTAGCTTCCTGTGATGCAGACCTTGGGAAGGAGCAGAGGCGATGGCTCAAGGCGATGGCTCAAGTCACTGGCTTCTTGCCATCCACATGGGAGACTGGGATTGAACTTTCAGCTTGATGCTGAACCAGCCAAAGCCTTCGTGTAAGCCCTGGAATACATTTTCCAAAAAGCATCTCTATTTACGCTCTTGCTGCTAACATCAAACATGACACAAGGAGCATCAGAGAAGGCTTTAAGGAAAAGCCACAAACTTGGGCAAACATTTAATTTTTTAAATGAAAAGATGAGGAAGTTGAAAGCATAATTAATGTAAACAAAAGATGAAGTAAGCTTCTTTAAACAAAAAAGTTTCAGCAACTGAAACAGAGGCTCAGCAAGCTAGCCCTCCACCCTACCAGCATGCTACCAGCAGCCCATATGGGCACTTGATTGTGTCCCGGTTGCTCCACTTCCAATCCGGCTCTTTGCATATGGCCTGAGAAAGCAATGGAGGACAGCCCAAGTCCTTAGAACCCTGCACCCACGTGGGGAGCCAGGAAGATGCTATGGGCTCCCAACTTTGGATTAGCTCAGCTCTGTCTGTTGCGGTCATTTGTAAAATGAACCAGCAGATAGAAAGCCTATCTCTCCCTCTATAAGATCTGCCTTTCAAATAGAAATAAGTAAATCTTTTTAAAAAATAAATAAATCTTTTAAAAAATAAAAGTTTTGAGTTTACAACTATTCATCCAGCTCAAATATTTTATTTTTTTATTGTTACCACTATTTTCCATGATATGCTTTTGTAGGTATTTCTCTCTTTTCCCTCCCTACCCATTCTGCTCCCCACCATTTCCCCCCATATTACTACAATAACATAGTCCCTCAGCTACAGTCACAATTCCAACATTTTGCTATATAAGTGAATCATGACATTGTAGGTGTAGGCAATAGTAAAAAAAATCTAGTATCAAATTGTCAAGATATATTTAGCCATTTAATTGGGCATTAGAGAAACCCTTTTATTTGAGAGATGCATACTGCCCTGCTTCTTCATTTCCTGGTACTGTAACTTCCATAATATAGTTCATGTATGACAACGCGCCCACACACACACACACACGTTCACCTGTACATCTATTCTGATTTTGCATGAAGGCTGCTTTATATCAGAGAACATACCTTATTTGAGCATTTTTTCAGATGTCTATTAGCCATTTGAATTTGCTCTTGGAAAACGCCTGTTCATTTCCTTCGCCCAGTTTTTCACATGGTTGTCTGTTTTGCTGTCATTGAGTTTCTGAAGCTCTTTTTAAATCCTGGATATTAGTGCCCTATCTGTTGTACAGTATCCAAAGATTTTCTCCCTTTCTCTTGGTTGCCTCTTAGCTCTGTTGCTCATATCCTTCACTGTACAGAAGCTCTTAGTTTGATGTAGTCCCATTTGTTTATTTTGGCTTTGATCACCTGTGCTTTTAGTGACTTTTTTAAAGAAGTCTTTACCTAAACCTCTATCTTCTAAAATGCTTCCTACGTATTCCTGTAACCATTTGATGGTTTCTGGGTGCAGATTTAGGTCCTTGATCTACTTAGAGTTGATTCTTATATAATGTGTTTCCCACTTCTCTACATGTAGATATCCAACTGTCCCAACAACAACAAATATCCTATGTTTTCTTGTTATTTTCTCTCAAGGATTGGAAAAGTGAACCTGCTGAAAGAAAGTGATCTTCCACAAGCAGAGAATGGGCCAGGAAAGAACAGCTGAGCAGTGAGGGAAGGCCTGGCTTCCAGTCCTGATCCAGTCTTGATTCTTTCATCAGTCCTGTCTCCTCCTGACCTGACACAAGGCAATGCCACTAACCTTCTGAGAAGGAAGCAAGGGGATGGAGGTGGCCCTGGCTGCTCCTGATGCGGGTTCCAGTGCCAGGGCCCTGTTATCCACATCCATCACATTAACAGCAGTTATTTCCTACTGTTTGAGGTACATCAAAGCAGCAATACCAAACAACAAGGACACCGAAAAGTCGTTCTGTCAAATTGAGCATATCAGAAGAGTTCCACGTTTCTGCAGAAGACGCAAGGATTTCACCCAACTTTCTTCTCCAGAAAAGCAAGCGATGTTTCTAAGGTTCATCACAGACATATTGCTCGGCAGCAGAATGTTTTGCAACAACCTCTTACAATAGCATTTTAATTATCAAAATGTGTTTATCCTTTTGCTTCAAATGTCTAAGTTTATTGTATTTTGGTCAAAGCTTTTAATCTAGCACATTTTCCACTGTGGCAAATCTATCCAATTTTTAAATTTCATTTAGGCAGAATTCAGTGACACTGATGGAAAGAATGTTTTCACTTGACAAAGTTTATTCCAATGGTGAGGAGTTGGTTCAAAAAGTGGAGTTATTAGGAAATCTTTCAGAGGGTTCAGAAATCAGTACAAAATCCTGCTTCCCTTTGCAACGGCTGCCTCTAAACTTGCCATGAGCAGAGTCAGCAACTGCTACCCTGCTTGAGCTAGGGGGTCTGTATTTGGTTTATACTTCAACCCTTACCACCGAGACAAATAATCTACATGATTTTACTAGATTTATTTATTTGAAAGTCTGAGTTACACAGGGCAAAGGAGAGACAGGGAGAGGCATCTTCCATCCACGAGTCCACTCCCTAGATGGCCCCAACGGTTGAGAATAGACCATGCCAAAGCCAGGAGCTTCATCAAGGTCTCCTACATGGCTAGCAGGGGTCCAGGAATTTGAGCCATCCGCTGCTGCCTTCCCAGGGGGCTGAATCAGAAGTGGAGCAGCCAGGACATGAACCTGCACCCATATGGAATGCCAGTGCTACCAGCAGAGGATCGGCCTGTGACCACAGTGCCAGCTCCTGATAAATTGTCAATCAATGAGAAAATGATTGTTCACAAACTAAACAAAGCACATAAAATAATTTCCCCATTTTTTTCAAGTCCGACACTTGTTAATCCGTCACTAGAATCTATATCCCCTATTCTGCAGCCTGTCACCCACTCAGCATACCCCTCCTTCATAGATACAGGCACACGGAAGGCCACCACAGGTTTCTATTTCATCAGATTGATTGCAGGCCAGTACTATGCTGTCCCTGAGTGTATTTTCCTTCCTAGATTCTAAATCAGAGGGTAAGAAGCCCCTCACACTCATCTCCATTGCTCTCATTTATATTGAATCCGTATGTGTGCTCTGCTCTGAATCCTTTAACAAAAACCCTGAAGAAGCTGAGGCAGCTTGAACCACAGCTTGGCATGCCTGTGTCCCATCTCAGAGTGCCTGATTCAAGTTCCACTACTCTGCTTCCAATCTAGTTACCTGCTACTGCACCGGCGAGGCCTCAGATGCTGATCAGTCACTCACACAGGAGACCCAGATGGAGTCCTGGCTCCTGGCTGTGATCTATCCCTGCCCCACTGCTAGAGACACTCGGTAAGTGAACCAGGGCACGGAAGATATCTCTGTCTCTCTCTCAATTTCTCTCCCTCTCTTTCAAATAAATAAATAAATCTGATTGAAAAAGAAGCTGAAGCAAATTCAAAATGACTATAAGTTAAGGCAAACACAAAACAAGGTCCAAGATGTCTGGTCAGTCCAACAGAAGGAACCTAGGATGGAGCTATCCAGCAGTGTGCATCACACAGTGGGCACTCATTCCCACGGTTCACCCAGCTGTCACCATGAGCAGAGGGTCCTTCTATTTCCCCAAAGCTCCAAGATGAACCATGTGAAACAGCGGGGGCCCAACAGCCATACTTCATCCAGTTTCCAGGGGTGCTAGAATGCTGATTACTAGGAAGAAATTTATGTTTAATCCACTGAAGTTGCTGCAGGCCTACCTTAAATACATAAATCATTTTCTAAGGATCTCATAATTACACATTTGAACACTGACATCGGAAATAATATAGAACTAACAGTGCAATCTCCTTTTCTATAGATCGCAGTATGTCAGGATAAAAAAAGAAATGGAAAAGAAAAAGGGAAAAAAAACTTACTTTAAGCAGCCATGTGAGGACGGAGTCACGATAAGGAACAAACTTATTCTTGTTCTTGCCAGCACTCTGATCTGCGAGGGCGGAGATAACCAGACCGAGGGTCGTGAGCGACCTGCGTGGTGCAACAAGCCGGAACAGTTATACCAAAGGGAACATGCCAAACGTCACATGCTCACAGAAAGTCTGAGCATCAGGAGGCTGTGTACCTGCACACAAGCAACTGTGTGGGCTGAACCACGCTGCGGTTCAGTTCAGAAAGGCACAAACTCTAAAGAGCTGCTGTCCCTCGAGTTTTCTGAAGCAACGAAAATGCTCAGCCTAACTGTGTATTTCATTTGAGTAAATAGAAATGTAAGCTATAAATCTTCAGGTAAAAAGATACAAATACCACATGTCTTCAAGAAAGGAAATACAAACACAATAACAAAAAAGGTCAGTGAGGGGCTGGCACCATGGCAGAGTAGCTTAAGCCTCCACCTGCTGTGCCAGTATCCCAAGTGGGTACCAGTCTGATTCCTGAATGCTCTACTTCTAACACAGCTCCCACTAATGTGTCTGGGAAAGCAGACAATGATAGCCCAAATTCTTTGGCTCCTCAACCCACTCGGGAGACCTGGAAAAGCTCTAGGCTCATGGCTTCAGATTCCCCTACCTCCGGCTATTGCTGCCATTTAGGAAGTGAACCAGCGAATGGTAGATTTTCTTTCTCTGTGTATACCTGCCTTTCAAATAAAAATGAGTCTTCTAAAAAAAAAATCCATGAGGCAAGAAACAAAACAAAAACCTGTTTTAGCAATAGCACAACATCTGGATAGCAGTTACCCATTGCTGTGTTTCCAGCCATGAGCACAAAAAAGACCTGGCAGTTCAGCTCGAGAAAGACACTAAAACCTGATGAAGGAAACAGTGAACAGATGTTTATCTCATAAGGCCTAGCTTCTCGGACCTGGACAACGCAATAGCAATTCTGATACTCCCAGTATACATGCTGTTGGCTCAGATGGCAACACTCAGGTCAAGGTCAACAGTTAAGAATTGGAGATGCCAATTACCTTTGTTCTTTTATACAGCTTGGACCAGTGGTTTTCAAATGGGGGTGAGCACATGGATGCCCTTGCTAAAGCCTGGGTTGTCACAGCAGAGTGTGAGGGGAGAGGCAACGGGTGCTACTGCCATCTAGTGGACAGATGCCAGGGATGCTGCTAAACATTCCACAATGCACAAGATCCACTTCTCTTTGAGGACAAAGCACCCAGAATGTCAACAGGGCACTGCTGAGACACAACCTAAAAAGGGCTCAGGTGCATAAAAAATACCAGAAAGAAAAACCCAAACTATGAGGATGTACTTAAATCACTCCAGAATCTTGTTTATTTATTTATTTATTTATTTTTGGTTCCCCTATCTGGCGATTCAGTCAACAAAGTGGTTAAAAAAAAAAAAAAGCAGCTCTGGAAAACTCACTTGTTGATGTTGCTCCCTTCCTTCAGCCTGTCGCCGGCAGCTCCGGTTTTTGTTGCTCGTTCACTACCAGCCAAGTCCACCAAGCTCAGCTTGCCCACTTTCTCCCCAGATGTCTACCAAAAAGATTGGATAAACACTAGTCACATAGTGAAAGAACTCAGAACTCAGACTGCTTCAGCTGCGTGTGTGACTGCATCTCAAGGGCATCTTGTACTGGTAGGAAGCACTGTAACACTGCACTGTGGCTGGTCAATGCTCACGGCATGTACACAGCCCCACCAATCCCAGCAGAGCGAAGTGAATTACCTTATAGAAAACAGTGCCCCCAAAATGGGACACTCTGAAGACAGCTAATAAAACAGAGATATACACAAAACATGTATGATACACATTTGTATGACTTGAAACTACACTTAAAACCTCAAATATTTACAAATTATCCTGAGGCAAAATCCTTATAATTCTTACTAATACAGAAAAACATGAATCTTTCACACGACAAAAGAACTCCTCAAGACACATTGTACTATTCATAAATCCTTTTGTTTCACAATTACATGCATTACACTTATATCTTTTTCTAGCTACAAAATATTGTGTATACATATATATATATACACACACTTGTATTTTCCTTTATCAAAAACAGTCCATTATCAACCCACAAACATATGTGTAACAAATTTTTACTCTTCAGCAATACAAGAAATAAAGGAAATGAATGCCAGTGGGACTGTTCTTAAAACTTCCCTTTAAAATACATGAGTATACATTTGCAGAAAATAACATTGCTAACAAAAGGGTACTCAATTTCACAAATCAAAAATACTTTTGGCTTAAAAAATAAAAAGGAAGCCTTCAATATGTTTTTTTTTTCTTTTATGTTGAAAGGAAATAGGAAACAAAGCACTTCTGTTGTTGTTATTCTTGCTGTGATGCTGAACAAGAAAAAGGTTTTCAGCATATGTAACTCCTGCCAAACACGGCACTTTGCAGAGCAATTATTTCAACTTCTGGTATTTGAAACTAATACGTAATAAAATATGTAAAACCTCACATCAAAGAACAAAACAATAACAGATGAGTCAACAGAGACATTGTCAATATGGCACAATTATACAAATGAGTTCACTTATTTCTCACAAGATTTCAAATCAAAAACCCAAAACTTGGGGGCCTAGTGGCTGAAGTCCTCGCCTTGCACATGCCAGGATCCCTTATGGGCACCGGTTCTATTCTGGCAGCCCCGCTTCCAATCCAGCTCCCTGCTTGTGGCCTGGGAAAGCAGAAGAGGAAGGCCCAAGGCCTTGGAATCCTGTATCCACATGGGAGACCTCGAAAAGGCTCTTGCCTTTGGATTGGCACAGTTCCGGTGGTTGGGGCCAGCCGGGGAGTAAATCAGAGGACAAAAGATCTTTCTGTCTCTCCTCTCTGAATATCTTACTTTCCAATCAAAATAAATTAAAAAACAAACAAAAAAAACCTTACTCAACAAACTCTAGTTATTTTATAGCACAACCTTCCAGTGCAAACTAATCCCTCCAACACTGGCCCTTCAGTAGAGGGTAACACTGCAAAGAGGTGTGCACTCAGTCAACTGGAACATTAACCTTAGCTCGTGCCCTTAGGCACCAACTGAAAGCTCAAACACCAGGGGTCTCCAGCCAGCCTCCCTCTGCTCCACCACCATTCAGCTAGAGGGTGGGGAACTAGACTCTGCCTCTGTCAGATGCCTCTGTGGCCAGGCTGCCCGTGTGACACAGGCTCTGCCAGTCAGCTCCTTCTGCCTGGAAAGCGGAAGTAAAGCCAAAGCCACTCCCCGCCTCCCTCGGCTTTTAGTCCCTTCGGTCCAGTGCAAACAAGGCACTGCCCGCTGGAGGCCCTAGCACCTTCTCTGTTTCCCAGGGAGCTGAGGCCACTGTGTGGACAAACGTAACGTCTTTATTTCTTCTGACCTTGGCAATAGGGTGGCACCTTGAACTCCTGGCTCTAGTGGGGTCCTCAGAGAGCTTGGAGGCTGTTCGCAGAGGTCCAGACATAGAGCTGTGATCATCCCACTGTCTGCAGCCGGGCCCTGCCTGCTCACGGAGAGGGACTTCTGTTTCTTGTTCAAGTCCTAACTGACACAAGTGCCTAGGACCCTGTTCACTCATCAAATATCTGAAGACAGACAAGCCCCGATGTACATTAGATACAGAAACAGAGGAAAGGCATGACACCTACCCCGGACTTAACGTCGTATAGAGTATGCGTGAGGGTGATTTTGAAGACTGCGTGGGACCGGCTGCTCTCCTCGTTCATGTTGGTGGCAGCAACTGTGCGAGACTTGTTACCCTCAGACATCAAAGACTCGATATCCTAGAAGGAGATAAGTCACAGACACTCGTCTCCACATCCAGGTGTAAGCATGGAAACTCTGCTACCCTACAGAATGCGGTACAAACTTCACTACTTAGTCAACAATGTTTGGAGTTCCCATTTGGCTTTTTCAATGAATACTAAAACCCACAGAGTACAACAGCTAACACAGTCTCTGAAAACTCAGAGACTATTTTCTGTAAGTACAGACCAAAGAGGCAAGCGTCAACTCAAAATTGGAAAAATTTAGAACAGGGATGCGCAATGTGCTGTAAGTAGGATGACCATTGTGCTGTAGATGGGTACAAAGTCTCTGAGACACCAGCATCCCCTATGGGCACCAATTCATGTTCCAGCTGCTCCACTTCCAAGGCAGCTCCCTGCTACTGACCTGGACAAAGCAGAAGATGGCCCAAGTGCCTGACACCTACAGGGAGACCCAGGTGAAGCTCCTGGCTGCCTGACCCGACGTTGGCTACTTCAGCCAGCAAGGAAAGGAACCAGTAAATGCAAGATCTCTTTCTCTCTCTTTTTCAAACTAAACAACTATATTAATTTTTTTTTTAAAGTTCAGAAGTTACACTTTGAGTCACACAGATAGATACATATGACATGCTAACCCTCACCTAATTTGGAAATTGTTTAAAATTTCATTTAGGTCACAGACTCAATGCAAATGTGCCATTAAAACAAATCGTACTATGCACAATAACTTGTAACCTCTTCACTCAACATGTATCACCAACTTTGTGTTTATCTTACCAGACCTGCTTTGGGTGTGGATATTTGTATGTGTTTTGAGCACAGATCTTCCATGTATTGGTTCACTCCCCAAACACACACAACAGCTGGAGGTGCACTAAGCTAAAACAAGAATAGTATTTCAGGTCTCCCACATGGGTGACAGAGACCCAGATGTTTGGGCAATCCCTGCTGCTTCCCAAGGTACGTGCTCACTATGGAATGTAGGAGTCCCAGCAGCACACCAACCACTATGCCAAGTGCCCACTCATTTTAAACTTATACGAGAGTTTGGCAGAGTGGCAGGGTACAAAATTAACGAACGAAAATCAATAGCCATAGTGTACGCAAATAACACCAAGATGGAAGAAGATCTAACCAACAGGATACCATTCAAAATAGCAGAGAGAAGTATGAAGTATTTGGGAATAAATCTAACCAAAAGCGTAGGAGACCTATTCGAAGAAAACTACAAACTATTTAAAAAGGAAATTGAACAAGACCTCAAAAGATGGAATAACATCCCGTGCTCCTGGATAGGCAAAATCAATATCATTAAAATGTCTATACTACCACAAGCAATATACATTTTCAACGCAATTCCAATCAAATTGCCCAAAACATTCTTCACGGAACTGGATACAATGATTCAAAAGTTCATCTGGAAACACAAAAAACCACGAATAGCTAGAACCATCCTGAAAAATAAGAGGTTAGCAGGGGGAATCACAATCCCGGACCTCTGGACATACTATAGAGCAGTGGTTATCAAAACAGCCTGGTACTGGCACAAAGACAGAAAGGAAGATCAATGGAATAGAATAGAAGCACCAAAAGGGAACCCACACAAATACAGCCAATTAATCTTTGACAAAAAGACCAATGATAGCTCAAGCAAGTGGGAAGGCCTCTTTAGTAAATGTTGTTGGGACAACTGGCTGATAGCCTGTAGAAACAAAAGGATAGACCCACATCTATCACCATACACTAAGATCCAATCTACATGGATAAAAGACCTAAACCTACATCCAGAAACCTTCAAACTCTTGCAAGAAAATGTAGGAAATACACTGCAAGACCTAGGAGTAGGTTCCGACTTTCTAAGAAGGACACCAAAAGCAATAGCAGTTGAGAACAGAATAAACAAATGGGACCTCATCAAACTAAGAAGCTTCTGTACAGCAAGGGAAACAATCAACAAAGTAAAAAAGCAACCCACAGAGTGGGAGAAGATCTTTGCACACGATATAGGCGATAGGGGGCTAATTTCCAGGATATACAAAGAACTTCAAAACAACCAAAAAACCAAAACAAACAAGCCACTCAAGAAATGGGCACGGGAAATGGGCAAACATTTCACAAAGGAACAAGTCCAAATGGCAAACAAACATATGAAAAAATGTTCCAGCTCCCTAGCAATAAGGGAAATCCAAATTAAAACATCGATGAGGTACCACCTAACACCAGTAAGATTGGCCCACATAAACAAGAACACCAACGACGCTTGCTGGCGAGGATGCGGGGAAAAGGGAACCCTACTCCACTGCTGGTGGAGCTGCAAATTGGTACAGCCTTTATGGAAATCAGTCTGGAGAACACTCAAACAACTCGGAATCTGCATGCCATATGACACAGCAATAGCACTCCTAGGAATATATCCAAAACACCTGTTTTACGACAAACCAACATGCATCCCTATGTTCATTGCAGCACAATCAGTAATTGCAAAAACATGGAAGCAACCGAAATGCCCATCAATAGAAGATTGGATAAGAAAGCTTTGGTTCATCTACTCCATGGAATACTACTCAGCTATTAAAAAAAACAAAATGCAGTTCTTTGTGGCTAAATGGGCACAACTGGAAACTATAATGCTAAGGAAATGAGTGAATCCCAAAAGATTAGATACCACATGTTTGCCTTGATTTAACCTGTAATTTATTGTTTGGTTGTTTGTTATTCTTTGAAACGTGTCATTGATGCTGTCTCAACCCAGATGTTTCGAAGAATGGAACTTGCATTATTTTTAACATATTGTTTACCCAATACTATGTCAATTAATTCCATAATGTTGTATATTGATACTGAGGCCTTGTTGGGTCTTTTAACTGACCGGATCTTTACTCTGTTAGACCTATCTTCAGACCATAGAAGGTCTCCCCAGGAGGCCACTGAACTTATCTGGACAATAAGATGCTGAACTTTATGCTAGGCATGTGTTTGCAAGCAATGAATCTCAACTGAACTTGAACTATGGTTATGCAGCAAGGTGGAGGAATCCACCATGGGGGGAGGGGTATGGGGAGGGGTGGGGGGAATCCCCAGCGCCTATAAAACTGTACTACATAATACAGTGTAAGCAACAATAAAAAAAAAATATTAAAAAAAAAAGGAGATCAAAAGACTAATTTTCTGTATATATTTATTACTTGCTACATCTGATAAAAGAAAAAAAGGGGGAAGAAGAGTGAGACAGAGGGAAAGACATGTAACAAAAATCATAGATTTTCATTTTCTAAAATGCTTTAAGTTCTATGATAGTCACTTTTGCACTTCACTACTGAGTTACGATATCATCTACCTCACAAGGATTTTAACAAGGAACAAGCAAGATAATATATAAAAGACAGCAAGTTTTCTCCTATTACCCAGTTCCTTCTTTCCAATGAAAAGTACCCCACCTTTGGCTGAGCTGAAAGACTACATTTCCCACATGCACTTGCAGTTCAGTCTTGCCACATGGTGCCCAAGATGTCAAATCCAGCATAGGCCATATGGAACTCTCCTTTAGGGACTAAATAGACATGCTATCCCATCGTCTCTACAAGACATCCTGAACCATGAGGATGGGGCATAAGGGTGTCTCTCACTGCAAAACTACAAAAGCAACCTGATAGCCACTCTGTCACCCAACCCCAGAACATCCACCCCCTAGGACTTCCATTAATGAGAAGTCTTGTGCAAATTACCATCCGTTCACTTGTTCAAGTGTATACTGAGCACGAATCACATGTCAGGGCTCCCCAGACACAAGAAACACTGGGACAAAACAGACCACATTCCATTCTTCAAAACCTTTCAGTATTCTATACGGTTTTAATGTTATCTGCAGCAGAACATAACCCCAACATGTCTACGTACATGAGAGCAAAAGCACTCTATTTTCCATATAAATATGAAAAAAATAGTATTTCTGGAAAATTCAAACATAATAAAAAGCCTTAAAGTAAAAAGCATGAACCAGTTAAAAAAAAGTTGCAAGTGGGCACCCAGATGGGTACAGAACATCACAAGGTAAATTCACAGTCATCTAGATTGATTCCAAGCCTATTTAGTCTGACAATCCTGATACTTGGTGGAAAAGCTTCCTCCTACTTAGCTTGCATTTGCTCACTGGTCTCCAGCTTGTTATCTCATTTTTAAGATTTTCATGAAAAGTGGTTTAAAAGTGATGCCAGTGTAAAATTGTTTTAAAATAACAAATGAAACAAATGAAAACACTGTAGTTTACTCAGTTTAAGTAGCTCCCATAAAGGACATGGTTACCTTGTAGCTTGTGACAGCCAGTTTAGAAAGTCCATCAACATAGGGTCCCAACACACTATGCTCTCTGACTTTCAATGTCTGACGGCTCCTGTAATGAAAAACAACCAATTTTAAAAACAATATCCTGTTTTTTTTAAAAAAAGGACTCAACTACACCCCATAAAAACGTTATGTTGTATTCAAAAGAAACCCTGGAATCAATAAAACCAACTGAATTGATCCTAGAAGGATTTAAACCATATTTTAAAATCTTCACTGGGAAGAAAGCCTTCATAATGTGGCAAAATATCACATCCCTCAAAAGGGTACACTGTGGGATGTCTATTTACAACACAAAGAATGCAGAGTCATAGAAACATGAACAATCTACTTGTCATATCACAGAATGCGGTACAAAGAGCAGAAACGCAACAAATGTTAACTATGCAAGAAAGGAAAAATACAGACCAATCTCAATCATGAATAAAGACAGACATAAAACAACAAACTGAATCTAATAATGAGTTAAAACCAAACCAGGCTTACCACAGGGTTGTTAGGGTGTTTCAACATTGGGGAAAAAAAAGACTCTGACACTTCACTTTAAGAGGTGCAGAAGCAAGGATCCATATGATTATTTTGACAAATACATGAAAAACTCATGCAACAACATTAAAACTAAATGCTCAAGGCTTTTAAAAATAAATAAATTTCTTAGCAAACAAGTAGTCTATTGAGTAAATCACAGCTGCCAATACAAAACTCCACAGCACCCTTAAAACAAAAACATTCAGAACACTATGGAGATGTTAGTTCAAGGCCTCAAAATTAGCTACAAGTTCTCGAGATCTAGTGCACAGAATCCTGACCACAGTCAATAATATAATGTATATATCAAAATTGCTGAGAATAGGCTTGAAATGTTTACAACAAAAGCACACACCGGAACATTCACTTGATTTAATCATTCCCCAATGTAAGTCTGCACAGGTCAAATATACTGGGGCCTGGCACGTGGCCTCGTAGTTAAAGTTCTCGCTTTGCACACGCCCAGGATCCCAAGTGGGTGCTAGTAAATGTCCTGGCAGCTAGTAAGTGTTGTGGAAGCACAGCTCTGACTACTGCAACCACTTGAGAAATAAATCATCAGGAGGAAGATCTTCCTCTCTGTATATCTGACTTCCCATTAAAAATAAACCTTTTAAGAAAACATTGTACTCCATAAACAACTTATTTGCCAATTAAGAATAATTTTTTACACAATAGAATCTGATAGCAATGAGATTCTGCATTTATCCATATTTTCCACCATGAATGCGTATGCACTTTACAGTATAAAAAAAATCTTGATTTTAAGATTTTTAATTTTTATTGGAAAGTCAGATATACAGAGAGAGGGGAGACAGAGATCTCCCGTCTGTTCACTAACTCCCCAAGAGGCTGCAATGGCCGGAGCTGTGCCAATTCGAAGCCAGGAGCCTCCTCCAGGTCTCCCACACAGGTACAGGGTCCCAAGGCTTTGGGCCATCCTAGACTGCTTTCCCAGGCTACAAGCAGAGAGCATGAGGGAAGTGGGGTCACCAGGATTAGAACCGGTGCCCATATGGAATCCCAGTGCATGTGAGGCAAGGACTTTAGCCATTAGATTAATGCGCTGGGCCCTGGCTTTTTTTTAAATTAATTAATTAATTAATTTAAAATAATGAGTTATAATGCTTAAAATTCTTAGGCAGTCCCTCGATAGCTGTGAAAATAAGACACCACTCCTCAGCTTGACATGCACGCTCCTTTCTAATCTGTTCTTATGCACTTGTCTCAACTTATCACCTTCCCAGAATTGATTTGCATACACCCATTCTTAAATACACCTGGACTCCATAAGGGCTTGAACAATGTTTTAGTAACTGGGGTGTCTGCAACTCCTAGCTGGGCAAATCAATAAATGAATAAACAAGGTTAACAAAATGAAAACAGATTCTAAATATGCTAGCTTACATGATTTGGAGAGAAAGTCTTGTAACAAAAAAAGGGGGAGGGGAGGAAGAAATGGTCAAGAATATGCAACATAAACAGCAAGTACAGAAACTGTAACCACACCTAACTGCCTTCACCCACTATAAGGAAAGCAAACTGGTATACGACGGATGAGATCATATGAATAGCTATAGAACAGTCTTTCACAGAAGGAACAAAGGTAGGGTGTGAGGAAATGATTCTCAAATCTAAGATGTTTACTGTCCTCCAGCACACTATCACAATCTTTTCTAATGATCTGTATCGTACAGAATGTAGGATCAAGCATAAAAACCATAACTATAGATGAAATACATACACTGAACAAGTGGCCGGTGTTGTGTTATAGCAAGTGAAATCACACCTGCAATGCCAGCATCCCATGCGGGCACCATGTTGTACCTGTCTGCTCCTCTTCAAATCCAGCCACCTGAGAATGGCCTGGGGAAAGCAGCAGAAGACTGCTCTGCTATCCATGTGGGAGACCTGTAAGAAGCTCCTGGCTTCAGCCTAGTCCCAGCCATTTGGAGACTAAACCACCAAATGGAAGCTCTGTCTCACCTCTCTCTGTAATCTTCACTTTCAAATTTAAAAAACCATATATTTTAAAAATGAAATGTGTATATATATACATATATATATACATATACACACATATATACATATATATCAAACATTTGCCTTATCTCTCACCTCTCAACCGCAAAACATATTCTATTACTTCTTGTCTTTTATTTTCTCCCTTTTTCTGAAAGACAATGCACACTACATTATCTCCCAAATGAAACAATGTAACTATAACTCACAAGGCAGATGCCTTGTGAAATTTAATTCTAATAGATTTAGTACATGAATGGAAAAATGTTCTCTCAACCTACAGCTAAAACAAGACTACACTTGAGGTTTCAATCCATTTTTCTCCAACTTCCTCACTTTCCGGAAGGAGGAAACAACAACAGCTACCACTTACTGAGTGCTTCCTGTACATCAGTCAAAGTTCTAAGATCTCAGAAGCACCATCCCAAGCTGTCTCCACAGTAGTCCTCTGAGATCCTGTGTCCTAACAGAATTCACCTCCACACAAGTTAGGCCTGGGCAGGGTAAGGAATTTGCAAGACAGGTGACAAGACGTATAGACACAGAGTTAGATGAATCCAAAGCTCACACTGTGAATTACTAATCTATATACAAGACAAACAATGAATTACTAAAGGTTATGAATGGCTGTAGGTAGTAAATTTCAAGCAATCCCACACAGCACTGTGGAACTCAAAACTCAAGAATAAACAGGTACGCAGTCAGTTAAGAATTTCTGGAATGAGTAAGTCTGGGCTGGAGCTCAAAGACCTTCGGAGGTCAAAGTGCAAGAGAAGGCAGCACACTATCACAATCTTTTCTAATGATCTATATCGTACAGAATGTAGGATCAAGCATAAAAACCATAACTATAGATGAAATACATACACTGAACAAGTGGCCGGTGTTGTGTTATAGCAAGTGAAATCACACCTGCAATGCCAGCATCCCATGCGGGCACCATGTTGTACCTGTCAGCTCCTCTTCAAATCCAGCCACCTGAGAATGGCCTGGGGAAAGCAGCAGAAGACTGCTCTGCTATCCATGTGGGAGACCTGTAAGAAGCTCCTGGCTTCAGCCTAGTCCCAGCCATTTGGAGACTAAACCACCAAATGGAAGCTCTGTCTCACCTCTCTCTGTAATCTTCACTTTTAAATTTAAAAAACCATATATTTTAAAAATGAAATGTGTATATATATACATATATATATGTTGGGGGCACTGACCATTTCCTGCCCTGTGATTGGCCCTTTGCCCTGATTGGTGTGCCTTGGTTCTCTTTAAGTTGATTGGTCAAGTTTGACAGTTAAGCGGGGGGCTTGGCGGGGGAGGGGCTGGAGCGTAACGGATATAACAGTCATAACGGACAACGGACAACGGTCACGACGGGACGGAGGAGCAGAATAAAAGCGCCTTGGAGACTCTCTCAAGTGTCGGGTGATTTCTTCCGCGGGACGGGAGGACCCCCGATATTTGGTGCCGTGACTCGGATAGAATATATCTGGTGCTGTGACTCGGATAGAAGATAACTGGCGCTGTGAATCGATAGAAGTCAGCTGGTGAACGCCAGGAAGGTAAGCTGAGCAGATCGCTCAGGGAGCCGCTTAGAGCGGGGAATTAGTTTACAACTGAGCTTTTTGCTCAGGAAGCCGCAGCAGCGGGGGGCCCATTTAAGCTGAGGTTTCAGGTTACCTCAGGGAGCCGCTGATAGCAGCGGGGACGTGCACGTCAAGTTCGCGGATTAGCGACGAGCCAAGTTCGCAGGGTAGCGACGAGTCGAGTTTAGTCGAGAGTCAGTTCGCGGGTAGCGACGAGTCGAGTTAGTCCAGTTTGCGGGTAGCGACCATTAAAGCTGGGTTTGCCGCCATTCAGGATCGCGGTTTGCCGCCATTCACCATCGCGGTTTACCGCCATTCACGATCGTGGTTTACCGCCATTCACGATCGTGGTTTGCCGCCATTCACGATCGTGGTTTGCCGCCATTCACGATCGCGGTTTGCCGCCATTCACGATCGCGGTTTACCGCCATTCACGATCGCGGTTTACCGCCATTCACGATCGCAGTTTACCGCCATTCAGGATTGCGATCTAGCGCCCATTCAAGTTCGCGGTTAACGATCAATTTCGCCATTTGACAATCGGTCAAGTTTGCAGGTTAGCGACGATCAGAGATGTTAAAAATATGGCCAATTTAACTTTTTCAGCGCACATGCAGCCTTTATTGCAGAAACTGCTGACGGTACTGTTGTTTTTGCAAACTATGCAGAGGATCGCTCCATGGTTTCTGGAGGAGGGCCTTTTGATCCTGCCACAATGGGAGCACTTAGGCAGAGACTTAGCTAAGGCAGAACACCAGGAGCCCCTTCCTCCAGGAACAGTCAGGATCTGGACATTGATTAAGTCTTGCCTGACTGATGGCACTGATAAATTCAGAGGACGTATACAGGAAGGTGAGAAAGTCTTATGGAAACGCAAAAAAAAAAAAAAAAAAATCAGAATGGATGGTTTG